TTTGTTCAAACACCTACAATTTCTCGGACTTTTCGCCATGCTGTTCCATCACCTTCCTTCCCAACGTGGCAACTGCGTTAACTGAAAACCCAAGTTCGAAGTGTGTTTTATTTATACCCAGCTACCCTGGCATTTCTGTGTGTTTTTATTAATCCGCATGGGAATTTGATGGAATTGCAGGTGGGCTGCAGGTTCTATCCTATCCCAGTAGTGCTGACCGGGGGTAGGCCTGTCCTGCCGAGGCAGGACCGGGGATGGAACGGCCCTAGAGCGAACGCCGGTAGGTTGACGTCCCATAGTGGTAGAGTTTGGGTTTGTCCGTTCTGACCTGTAACAGTCAGTAAACCATGATCATCCTTTTTGAACAAGGCCTGGAGCTGTTACAGCTTATAGGATAGACCCCAAGTAGAGTCTATTAAATATTCATTGTCTCATGTTCAGTGAGAGAAAGCCAACGCACCAGTCACATCCGTCGCCATCCAGTCACATCCGTCGCCCTGGAGTCGCCACAAACGCCGTCCGACCGGGGCCCCTGGACCCCGCGGACCGCGGACCCCGCGGACCGCGTTGGCGTCGCGCCCGAGGCGGTGCGGCCTTGTCTTTCGAGAAATCGGAGGAGGTCGACCCTACCGCGAGCTGGCTGGGAGCCCCAGCCCAGCTAAAAGCGAGCTCTTTGATGGTTTGGCTCTAGCGGAGCCCCAGCCGAGCCCCAGCCTCGGAGCGCGAGCGAGCTCTTCGATGGTCTGGCTCTTCTGGCTCTAGAAATGTTCCAAACGACTGGTTCCCACACCAGACGAATGGGACTGGAATAGGTATCACCGATGGTCTGGGGTTGGAAGAACTGCCCTTCTTTTGTTGCTTGCATGAGCCTAGGCTCTTCATTCGACCATGTCCAGACTTGCTTGGAAGATTTGCCCCCTTTTGGGTTGCCTGAACCCGTCGCACATCTGACGTGATCGATGCCGATGAGGTTGCCCGAAATGACTGGTCTGTCCATCCAGGCACTTCATTCGTCGTGATCCCATGCTCCGGCACTTCCTCTCTTTCAGACCGGTCCAGTCGACTTGGGGGGGGGACGCTCCAGTCGGGAGCCGTCCGGGGACGGAGATGGAGCTGAGAAGACGACCGGGGACGGAGTGGATGAGGAGTCATGTGGTCTTAAGTGGATTCATGGGATTCATGGGACTACGGAGGATTCATTGATATCCACTTTTTGGGCAAACATTCATGAGAGTCATGTGGTTTGGCAACCATTTGGAATTCTGAAGTGCCTATCTCAAAAGCCGTTGCTTCACTGGGCTCAGAAGTAGGGCAAAGCCATCAAGATGTAATCCAACAAAAATCAGAGTGCTAGGCACCACCGTGGGCCTCCACCTACCTCCCTGTAAGCAACCGATGATTGGTGCAGATGTTGGGGGGGTCGTGCCAGACCTGCGACCCCCTGAACTCGCCCCCTGGACCCGTTCCTCATGCTAAGGTGGGGCACACACCCGGCCACCGTCTTAGCAGACCTGCCTGGTGTCGCGGGGGGGGCAGGAGTCGCCGGAGAGTGGTGGATCTGGTGGAGAGAATGAAACAGGGCGCTTTGCTTCGAAGCCAGGTGCTGAAACAAGGGTTTTGGTGGCCAGTGGCCAGAACTTCAACTTGGCCAATGTCGATCTGGGAGTTGGTTCTACAGATAACTGAGGTTTATGGAGAGTGAATATGTGGTTAGGCCTGGAAAATGTTGATCTCCATAACCGAAAATGTATGCGCACTGTCTCCATAAGCAACTGATTTGTCGACATGCCTTGTTGAATCGTTCGCGGCCAATAGCTCCACCTAGCTAGGGCACTACCCATGCGCACCTTGTCGACCATGCACCCTGTTTGTTTGGGGCATCTCCGCTTCATTAGCTTCAAGTCATTTCAGTCTTCCTTCCCCCCCTAGACCCGCGGCCAGCCGCGCGACCAGTGTCTCCAGGCAGAGACGCAGGCGAGGACTGGCTTCTTCCGTCCGGGCGACCCGGCCAGTCCGCTCGCGTCGGGGAGCTCCGAAAGGGCTTGGTCTTGGTCAAAAGCATGAGGTCTAAGGTATAAGGGGTCGGCCATCTTTGGTGGAGGTTGCAAAGGTTCAGATGTTTTCTGCAAATCCAAGTCCTAGATATGTGATATATGTTTGGTGGCTTGGTGTACTGAGTGAGTAAACATGACAAATGAGTAAACCTTGGCAAACCTTGGCACCAGACACCATGATGAACACACCTTTGAACACACCCAGTAGACGGTGGAAATACAGGATCTTGATCCACGATCACTGGGATGGGACCATGTTCAAAGACTCTTGCATGAGCCTGACATGAATATCGCCCATTGGCAGAGTATTACCCTCCCGAAAACTAACGTGGAAGTGGAGAATGGCCCCTTGGAACACCATTTTCCACTACAAACAGGTGGTTTTCCACTTCATATCAATTTTCGGGAGTGTATCTTGAATGGTGCTGCTGAGTTTCAGGCAAGACATGTGCATGCTGGGGGATCTGTGGAAAAAATCGTCCTCGGCTCGCGGTGTTCAACTCCAGAGTCTCAAGCATGAATTGGAGGTGCTGGTTGGTGAGGCAGCTAGGCAAACTTGTTGGCCCCAAGCAACGATTAGTGAGTCTAAATATGTCTAAATTCTATCTGATGTCAGGGTCACATCCCAGAAAAGCAGTGACCTGGAACAGGAACAGTGGGAGTATACCAACAGAGGTTGAAGAACCCTATAGACTATCCTATAGGTACCCCAGATTACGGGTCCTATTTACGGTCACTTAACCTCTGTTGGTACATTTCGATATGTAGATGGTTTTCAAGGATGTTCAAGGATGTTCGCGCAGCCCAACGAACCAATCCTTTCCAACACAACCGCCCCACCCGGCCGCCGGTTTGCTCAGGAGGAAAGAAGGACCGGCGATGTGAGCGAACCGCGTGGGAGAGCGTGATCCCCGCGAAGCTGAGCGTTGAAGCTGAGCGTGACTGCCTGGTATACCGAGCAGTGGTCATCTCACCCCATTCGCAAAAAAACGGGATCAGTACATGACAGTGAACGACTGCTTTGTGAAATATAGGAGACCAGACTGTGTATATATAGTTTGTCTCCTTGTTCTGGCGGTCGTCATCCACAACAGCTTACCGTATACGAGGAGGTCCCTGCCTGACGGGGTCAGACTTAAACCTGATTCTGGGTCAGACTCGACCCAAGAAGCGAAGAAAAGGGGACTGCCCTGGGTGGGCAGATTGTGGACAGGGTGATCCTTTGACCATCCCTAAACAGGGACTCCTGTTCCACATCCGAAGGTAGGGACAGACTCCCTGGCACCTACCTACCCCAACCGCCTTTTCTCAAGGTAGTTGGATCCTTCCCTCGAAGCATTCACCGGTCGCTTCAGCCGAACGCGAAGCACAACCGACAGGAGAACGACCGCCTTCCAGGCTGGACTTCGGTTTGACGCCACGGGAAGACCTGCGGGGAAGTCAGTGGAGAAGTGCCTGGGGAACCGTGAAAGTTAAGGAGTTCAGTGACCTGATTTATTTATGATAGGAACCTTACCCCTGGACTACCCAACTGGGATAGTCGAACTTGGGTTCTTGAACCTTTGGAGCTTTGCCGCTTGCGCCTGGCACGAGGGGCCCGACCAAAAGGTGGGCCACAAGGTGGTGGGGGGGAGGAAGTTTTGGGGTCATGTTTGGTCTGGGACTTCCTGAACCTTGACCCGAACTCCAAGGCTGGAGGCCACCGCTTCTAGGTTGGAGGCCATCGTCGGAGTCCTTCCTAACACCGAGCCGATGCGAGGTCACGAACCGAGCCGAACCGAGCCGGCCGGGCCTAGCCTACCTGGCACGTTTGGGTGGTGTGGTGGATTTGGGTGAAACCAGGGTGGACCCCGTGGGGAAGAGTTGTTCTGTTTTGTTCCCGGCTTCCTGGACAGCCCGATATCCAAGAAGGCCGGTCTGGCCTGGCGATTCGACGAAGAAGTCACGGCAGCTTGTAGCTGTTGCCATGTACAGCGGTGCATGGCGAATTGCACATGCCAAGTCTGCGGTACACGGTCTCTATGGCCATGTTGTTGGGTGTGGAACTCCGTGGCCTGCACTGTCTCGCCGCAGCCGCTGTCTCTCGCGTGGTTTGTCAGTCTGGCGCCGAGCGAGCGCCTGTCGTGCTACGCCTGGAGCTGAAGTGTCGCAAGTGTCGAGGTAGAGGATGTCCTTCACAGGACCCGAGGCATCCCAAGGCTGCATGGGTCGCCTACAGCAATGTCCAGGATTTTTAGATGGCTGGTGCTGCTCAGAAGCTTCTTGGAAGTGTTTGGGTAGACTCTTGCACCGATGGCAGTGCGGCTTGACCACAAAGAAGCACTTGCCCAGGGAATGAAGCAGACGTCCTGGATTGTTCATCCGGCCTGTGTGGCATTTGGCCAAACATGGAACAGAGAGTATGGAGAAGTAAGACTTGTCCAACTCCAACTCCATAAGGGGAGGCTAGAGAGAGAGAGCCTTGCACGAGAAGAAGGGGCCCACAGGGCCCCCCAAGAAAAGGGCCCCTGGGGGCCTGAAGAGACAAGCAGCAAGGGAGAAGCGCAAGGCCAGAGAGGCAGCTGCGGCATCCTCCTACACAAGATTTGGAGGATGCCCTGAAGCCAGAAAGAGCGGAGAGGACAGAGAGGGAGTGAGGAGAGGAGATGGAGCAGAATGGACAGCCACCTCATCCACCGCCTCCTTGCTGACCTCCCCCAAAGGGAGAACAGGGGGTGCCTCATGCCCGGTGTCGCACTAGGACCCCCAGTTTGTGAGAGATGACACAGATTTGACAGATTCCAGAGCTCTTCATGGAAGCTTGCAAGACGATTGTCCTTTGCAAACCAATGGTTTTCAGGTTCCATGTGGGTCTCTTCCAGAGGTGTATCTCACCCGTTCTTCGCAGCCCGACTTTAAACAGAAAACCCCAGCGATTAGACTGCCAGGACCTTCAAAGTGACCTCTTTAGGGACTAAGTGACCTCATCCTGGGATATCAAAGGGTCACTGCTCCTGGTGGGGGTCATTTTGGGGGCCCCCATTGTTCCGAAGTACCAAACTGAGAGCTCCAGCTCATTCTCCTCGGCTTTCAGAGGTGAAACCACCGCGAGGAGTTCCTCGCCCAGCGCCCCTCGGCGCGAGGAAACACCGATGGGGGGGACTCCCAAATGGTTGGGACTCCCAAACTGTTGGGTTCCATGGTGTGTCTTCCTAAATAGATCCACCTCCACATGTGCGCAGAGGGATGGGAGACACCAAGTATACCTCTCTTTAGGGCGAAACTCAGGACCTGCTGAGAAGGTCTGTGGATTTTGTAGGGTTCTTCACCTGTTTGTTTCTCCTAAGGTAAGTTGATGTCATGTGAATGAGAGAACCCAAGAAGCTGGATGGGTAGAGGGATGTGGAGAGATATTGGTTGCATCATGTTGCTCATGCTGTATCGATTAGCTTGGGCATGTTGTATGTCCAATTTGGGCTCAACGCGTTGAAGCTCCTGTTTTAGTGGCTCCAGTGAATGGTTCATGCAGGTCTCTTTTGTGCGTCGCCCATGCAGCTATAATTCGTACGAGTAGGGGAAAAAAATCCCACTGTAGATGAGTAGTGGTTTCATTTGATTCCTCTTGTGATGTGTCTTCTGTAAAATCAGATGTTTATGTGCATTCTAAGTCTTCCACACCAGCTTCTACATGTTTTTACAAACAAGATTCTTTGGTTACCAGTTACTGTAAGCCTTAAGGTGATCTTGTGTTCTTCCTATGGTTGTATTATGTTGTATTAAACCACCTTCTGGGGAAATATATGTTTCAGGTTCCTGGACAGCAAATCCAAGTTACTGGTTCCCCACCAGAACCATGAAGAACTTCATGAGGATCTTCAAAGTGATCGAACTTCATCTAGGAGCTCTGAAGAAAAAAAGCTTTGAAGAAGCGGAAGAAGCTGGTTCATGAGGACCCGATCAATCATGTCTACCCATTAACCCAGACCCATCAAGGACCCATGTACCCCGACCCCGGCCCCATGAATCCGATCAATCAATTAGCTTTTCAGACCCATCAACTACGACCCTCATCGAACCTTGAGGCGCCGAACGTCGAGCGCCTCTCGTCAGCGGTTCTGAAGAGCGTTGGGGCGAGAAACCTCCACCAGGACACCCGGATGGTCCGGGGCTTCTATTTCCCACACCATCCAGGCAAACCACTATATAGACTATAGCTGGGAGTTTTAGTGGTTCCAGTTCGACTAAAACCATGGACCAGCAGTCACAAAGGGGTGCTTAATGGAAGTTAGGGGTGCCCATTTTCCACTCACTTGGGGATCAAACACCACCCCTTTGTGACTCCTGGGACCGAACAAATCCCTGGTTCCTTATATAGTGGTTTGCCTGGGATCCACTGGGTTGATAGCCCCTTAGATGTGATTCGGGGTGTCCTTTCTACCACCCCGACTGTGGGTCCTGGTATAGAGAGACTCCTTCCGGGAATGAGTCTGATGCGGAAAGCACCAGACACTCACAAGAAGTTCCTTCACCTTCAGGCAGTGTCTAGTCGACTTAGACACTCACCTTCGGGCGACTTGGGGGATGAGTCCAGTCTTGTGCCAAAGAAGCCAGTCTTGTGGTTTCACCGTCCATCGCTTCCAGCCTTGGAGGAGTCCATTTTCAGAATGAACTTAGAACATGCAACCTAGGGCTCCTGTCGCACCTTCTAAGAATCATTAAGAATCTATATAACACGGTGGGACTGGGGTGGGTGCCAGGAGGGTCCAAATACCTTCTTAGGAGGTACGACTGGAGCCCTACTTGTAGGGGTAACCAACCTTCCTGGCCCTCCCTTTGCGTAATTCAGCATTTGGAGGACCCGAGGCTTTTCCGATCACCTGCTGTGCACGAGGTCTGTTACGTCAAGGATGACCCAATTCCACAAAGCACTGATCACTTTAACACATATGAAAACAGAGCCGACGCTCGAAAGACCTTGTTTTGTTGAAGTTTCTTTTCATTAATATTCATATTTTGTGTAGGGTTCCTGGATTGATTGATTGATTGGGTCACTCCACAGCCTCTCTTTGCTGAGTCTTCACCGAGAAGCGTAGACCGCACTGGTCTCGTAGTGTGCTGGATCGGCTGTGGTCTTCCAGCTCAACTGGATCACTGGACCTACTACTGCATCCCTAACAAGAATATGGCCCCCAAATCCACCGGCGGTCAGGGTGATGGGTTCAGATTTGTCAGATGGGTCCATCTTCCAGTCCCATCCATGCTCCTGGGTATGATTGGGTAATGGCGTCCACATTTCGTCACCAGGCTGCTTGTCTTCCCAAGTGAGGAAACAACCAGAATCATAATGCCAGCTGTCCATCGGATACCCCATTGGAAGTAGCTGGTATATGGTAGTTTCTTGGAGCAAATGACCGACCCATAGATAGTCAAATTCACCGACCAGTAGGAGAGCTTTCCGAAGCTTTCCGTTTTTTTCACGTGCGTTTCAGACGTTTTGAATGCATGCGAAGTCACCTGACGTTATGACGGCCGGCCTTGTCACGGGTCCGGTCCGGAGACTGTGCCTCTCCGAGGGGAGGCGAGGCAGGGTAGGCAGTCATGACTCAGAATCAGCGCAAGAAGTGGCACAAGGAGTGACAGCTGAGGCAATCCAGCATCCAAAGTTGATGCCATGGTGAGTTTGCAGGCCGCTGCCATGGGCGTTCGGCGGACTTTGTGGTGGGATCATCCAGCTCAGGGAAATGGGGTCAGTGACTGGGTCAGTGTTGGCAACAGAATGGCCCGGTCGGTGGTTAGGGAGCGATTGAGGGTCGCGGGGTGAAAGGTGTGTCCATGTGTGTCCCTGCACTGACACCTCAAGAAGTCCTATATAGACGGATGGGAGTCCATAACAACCACCAAACTTGGGGATTGTGTCATTGTATAGGACTGGGGAACTAATTCATATGACTCGCACTGACTATGGTCTATCAACCACCCCAGCCTTGGCTGCTGGCAGACTGAAGTCTCAAAGGTAATGGTCTCAAACGCCGAAGCCGCCGGCGCTTTCCACTCGCCGAAGCCGGCGGTCCTCCGGTTCCCCAAACGCCCGGCAGCTTGGTTTCAGCGACGAAAACACCGGGGGGGGCGCAACGGAAGAGTCGCGTTGGCTTGCTCAGGGCGATGCCCTGTTGTGCAGGTGGACTTGCCACCCCTTCCGGATGGAGCGCCGTCGGGGCGCTGACCGAAGACAGGACGAAGCACCAGTCGCAAGGACTGTCGCTGGTGACAGGTAGGGAGCTACTGAGTCAGCCAGGGGTAGGTAGGGCCACAGTTCCCTCAAAAATGGGGAGCCATTCCGAGCGCCAAACGCCAACTTCCCCAGCCAAACTGGCTGGAGGATGGTGACAGAAATCGGAGTCTTGGCAGGTGCTCTCGGTGTTCATGCGTGATTGTAGAGCTGAGCAGCCAGCCTTCCATCCCACCTCTCCGGATCACGAAATACTAAGCCAAGAGTGGTCTTGGCTTCATCCCTACTCTCTCAGCCAAGATGGAGACCACTGCTCTTCGAAACAGGGAGTGGATGGACCAATTGCTTAACCGCTGGAGTGAATGAGAACCTATCTTATAGTACTACCCTGTTCAGGAAAATGAATCATATGGCAATGGCTCAAACCCCCCTGCTTGACCACAGAAAAGGAACAGAATAGACTACTACCTGGAGATCAGCTTGGCCAGTTTTTTGACGCGAAGCGCCAAAACACTGACATTGTTGCAAACTAATCAGAAACTTAGACGATTTTGTTTTTCCTTGTTTCCGGACAAAAATGGTCAATGATTCATTTTTTCAGAGAGACCCAGCAGTTATTGATCCCGCAGCAGTTTCACCAGCCAGCAAGTTGGACTTGATCAGAACTAGCAGAGAGGAATTTCAAGACAATTGATTTAACAAAAACAAAGTGGATCTTCCTGGCCCATTTCGCCAAATAGCCAGGAAAATCTCAGCAATACAACTATATGTAAATCGCACATGGTGTATACATCCAAGACTATATAGGGATGAAACTCTCAGCCCGGAAGCGCCTGAAGCTCATCCATGCTGTGGTAAGATCCAGTTCGAGTGCACCATATGCTCTTTGCGTATCTTGAGCTGTGGATGCTTTCGCAAATGTTGCACATGCAGCTGAGCTCAATGCCAATTGACGTTAAAGAAAAAGACGAAACACACGAGGTTACAAAACAGGTTGAAGAACGCCGGCTTAAAAAAGGAGCAGAAGAAGGCAAAGCACGCCTTGCAGATTGAGGCAAAAGTCCAGTCCAGACTTGACGCGGCCATTGACGATTGCAACCAGGGCCTGCGCAATCAGTTTTCAAGGCAGGCTGACCAACTCTTCGAAGCGACTTTAGATCTGCAAAGTTGGACCTCGAGGACCCCTACGCAAGGTTGCCGGGGAGCAGGCAGCGTTGGCAAGGCAGCAGTAGCTCGTCGCAGGTGGCACTCCCCGCAGGTGCGTATAAGCCAGGCAGGTCGGACAAGGCACCTGTAAACCCCACGCCAGTGAGGGAAAAGGAGCCTGAGCCTTTGGTTCTTGGGCCGATTCCCAAGTGCAGGAAAGCTGGACATTAATAAGCAGCAGCAAACAAACACAGAAACCAGGAACAAAAAACAACAAGAGCAAGCAAAAAAAAAGAGACACTAGAGCCTCAAAAACCATCAAAAGCCACATAGACTAAGTTTGTTGTTGGATGTAATTTGGGATAAGCATCTGTTCCAGCAAAGACACAGCCATGGAAGGGCATAGAGAACTCCAGAGATGCAGGCAAGGCTCAAAGTCAATGATCTTGAGATTGGCAGGTTTGTTGGCCAGTGCTGGCGCCCAACTTTGTTTGATGCAGGTTGTTGGAGCTATCGCAGATGCCGTTAGTCCGGTGTTTGCTAAAGCTGAAGGTGCCTTTTCAGATTCTTTAGCTTTCACCTTCACTTTTCCACCCCGCTGACTTTTGCAGGCCATTTGGTTGAGCAGCTAAGCAATGCCACAACTGAGGTGTTGGCCCTGTAAAGCTGGCACCCGCAGCTGCTCTGGGACGATGTCCTACATGTATGTTTTCGCATGTTCGCGCCCGATTTTTGGCGCGGTGTCCTCTTGGGAGCTTGTGGCAATCAGCAGTTAGATGTGGCTCCGGCTGATTCCCAGACACTCACTATGGATCTCTCAACGTCCAGGGCATGGATTGCAAACACATGCCTGTGGCCATGTTGAAAATGCCATTGCAACTAATCTCAATGCAATGCTGACCTATTCTTTCAAAACTTAAGACTGTTGATGCACTTGCTGTGCAAATCCGGATCTTGGAAGAAGAAGATGTGTACGAGCTTATGCAAGGTTACACCAACTACATCCGCAAGATTGGGCGGTACAACTCAGACCCAAGTCCAAAGCATTCGGGACCCCAACTATATATGTCACTATTATGTCGCTTATGTTAGAGCTAAGTTAGATCTAAGGCTACATATGGTACCACATGTTGGAGAAAGCTTAGTCCTTGAGAGTGTCGCCGAAGTTGAATGTGTGTTTCAAGGACGAAGACTTTGTCCGCAGGCTCTGCATTGTAGTTTCTTAGTTGCAGGTAGGCCCAGTAAATTGAGAAGCAAGAAATCGTGGACCTAGCTGAGGCAAGCGGTTTCCATAGCACAGGGGTGAGGACCAATCGTGTCCGGCGGGGGCTTGCCACTGCAGCACTGGAGTGGCTGGATGAAAAATAGAGGCTTTGCAGCTGAAGATGCCCTTGGGGTTTATCAGAAAACCGGTCGATGTCATTTTTAGGTTAAAAAGTTAAAAACTGTTAATGAAACATGTTTGGCTCAGTGAGGTTAAGTTGATCTCCAGGTAGGTCAAGTCGATCTCCAGTTAGGTAGGTCAACCGACCAGGGATTCCCGGTCTTTGACCCCACAGCCATTATAACTTGTGGATTAACAGTGGGAATCAATTGGGTAACCTGCAAACCTTTTATTGGGGGACATTGGGGCCCACACCCCACGCAAAACCCGTGGACTGTTCGGTTCACCGCTGATGTTCCGAAGTTCGGCTTGGGTGTCAGTGCAGTTGCCATGGGAGACTCGGCTACGGTTTTTCTCAGTGCGATTATCACGCCAAAAGAGGCAACCAAGGCTGAACTTTGGAACGGCTGTATTTGGGAACATGCTTGAATATTTTGGAATCATTTTTACCAGACCATCCATGTATGGATTAGTTACCTACACTAGGCCTAGGGCCATCAATGGGGTCCCAGTCCGTGTACATGTATATACATGGATGGCCTGGGTTTGCGGCCCAGAAGCTTTGGCAACCGAGGCTCGACTCCCGCACTCAGAGTGTGGAGTTCCTCGGCAGTGAAGGAGTCTGAAGCGAAGTCTGAAGATGTCCGAAGCGTTTGGTCGTCCGGCGCAGCTGTTGTGGTGAAATGCCTGTTTTGGACGACACCCCCGCAGACCAACATGCGACCTGAGAAGGACAAATCTGTGGGAAGAGCATTTGCCGAATACCAACCCAGTTGAGCTGCAGGGGAGTACCAAAATTTCCCAGAATGTTGGACAGTTGAACACCCAGCTGGGCTTGTATAAGCCATTATAAGTCCAAAGACTATATGTTGCATTGAAGTATAAAGCAAGCTCCTTTTCAGGTCACCCAAAGACGATCATTTTATGGTCTCTGACTCCCAGGGTATGGCCTGTATACCCGCACGTCGTTGAAACAGGGGAAGCCCCGAGTTCCACCCCGAACAGGGGTGGAAAAGCCACCTGTACGATCACATACGTCTCCCGATGGGGAGACGGCCCAGTTTGGAAGAAGAGGAGGCTCTGGTAAAAACTTTAACAAAGGAGGGGGGATTCCTGCGTAAGTTGCGTAAACCAATAAAGTTTCTTCACAACTGAATTTGTTTCCTCCTCAATTCTCCAAGAGTGAGGCGGTCCTGTAGAATGTACATGTCAAGCGGTGGTGCCACTGCCTGCCGTTTACGCCCAGGGAAACCGAGAAGAAGAACTTTGAGATGTCCTTCTGCTCCTTAGAGCTCGTGGCGCCCCTCATCCCAGCGAAGGCAGCTCCATGCGCAGCTGGGATCAGCGGTCTTTTAAGACTGAAGTCGGAGGAGTCATAAGTCAATCATATGTCATAAGTCAGTGCATGTAGCAGCAGCATAGAAACTTTTCAGTCATACCGATTGAAGACAAAGCCTTTTGGCGTTTTGCGAAGCAGTTTTGAAGTTTTGGGGTTCCACGTTGATGATCCGGAGGCTACGGCAGGATGTGTTGAAAGGAAACGAATTTGTGACAGCGTACGAATACGCCAACTCATGGACCATGCCTCCACACTGCAAACACTACACCCACACAACAGAAGATGTTAACGTTTGGGGTTTGTACAGAAATCATTTGAAATCGTTTCAGTTCTTGAAAACCTTCAGAAATCCATCGGGCTTCCATATCTGAGGGGGGTCAAAATCACTTGGTTGGTGTACCACGCATTCGGCGGTGTACGTGTGGCATCATTTCGCTTGCATGTTGCCCTGTTCCACTTCGGGACTTTCCTTCCGATTGAGCCACTCAGATTCAGAGCGCTTCGTTGTGGGCCAGTGGATGCCAGTGGTAGAATTCGAAGGTTAGTTAAAACAATAGAAAAGCAGAAGGAACTCCAGTCCTCAGCACAAAAGAAACACTCAGATCCCTTCAAAACCATGCGAAAATCAAACAACATACAAAACGTGCAGTTCGTCACAAAATTCTCACAAAAATGTGCTACAAATGAAGGTTCAGGCTGTCATTGTTTTCTGTTTTGTTTTTTCTTTCAGCTCATATCCGGTTGTTAGCAACAACGCAAGTCATATTAATTTAGCCACGACTCCCAATCCTTCCGTATATTATCGGTTTGAACAGCCCATCCGGAACAAGTCTTGAAACCTGGGAAGAACAGGCAGCCGCCCATTCCTGAAAGTCTTGCATTTCCTACCCAGTCGGAGAGGAGAAGCTTTAACCATCTTTAACCTTTTTGCGGGATTGTTTCCCGCACTTTTTGGGAGTCAGGTTGTTGACCACCAAACGTTGGATGGGCCGAATGCATCCGAATGCTTTTGCCCACTCAATTCAGCCACACCGCCGCATTGTTGACGCGTTGAAAAGCACCAGGGGGGCGGCGGCTATGGTGTGGGAGCTCAGAGGAAGGGAGGAAGGGCTTAGGAGCTTCTGATATCGTTCTTCTGGAAGAAAACTGACATCCTTTTCATCCTTGTTCGGAAGGTCCTTCTTCCTGCTTCACTGTTGGAGCCTTTAATTTTTTTAGTTTGCTTGGTCAGCGCCGTCTATGGAGGCTCTTTTTGGCCGGGCAATGGTGGGTTTGGTGGTCCAGGGTCGAACCTCTAAAACGAGTTCTGCTGCGTGGAAGTTGACCTGCCCAGATGCTCCAAACAGCCCTTGGTCCCTCAAAACCTAAGGATTGGCTCGACCCCAGACCCCTGTATATGAGGGTCCAGGGTCGCGTTTGGGTCGGACAACAACTTTTGACGAAGAGTGCAGTAGCGGCTTTGATTCACAAGTGACTGGAGTGCACCGCCTGCGCGAGCGGCTGGCAACATATTTGAGCTTTGTGCCTTTGCACGGCAAAAAGCTTATGATAACAAGGAACATGCCGGTCCAGCCGCAGACCAAGTCCTTTTAGGAAAGTAAGATACTCTAATACCAGCAACTCGCATGCACAAATCCACATGTGCAGCCACCAGCAAAAAATCCTGCCTAATCGGAGTTGCTTTTCCATCCCCAAGATGAAGAGACACATCGGCGAGATGAAGTTCTCAGACAGAAGGACCTTTTTTCCCAAACAGTGTGGGCACACTGAGGGGTTCTTACGGCAAGTGAAAGCAGCTGATGCTTAGATCGCTGAAGCGCGCGGGCGTGACCGGCTAATTCGCTGCTATTTACAGTACATTCATGCCTCTCGACATCATCAATGTGCACTTAATTTGACTGCGCAGGCTCGCTGAATCTGGGTGTTTGCGGCGGGTGCTTCTAACGACTGCGCTCTCGTTGTGGTGCCGTGCGAATTTTCGCACATGGTGGTAACTTTTCGTGGCAGGCGCAGGGGAAACCTCGTGCAAGGGATCGGAGCTGCTTTTTACTTCAAAATGCAGTTTTCGTCGCAGGTGCAGCACTTTGGACATGTTTTGGTGATCGTCGAGGAGCCCGTGATTTTTGGACATGTGGCTCGTTTGCAGATTTCGTGGCAGGCACAGCACTCTCTGACCCTCCAGTGCAGATTTCGTGGCAGGTGCAGGACTTTGTGAACCTCGAAGTGCAGATTTCGTGACAGGCGCAGCACTTGGTGAACCTCGAAGTGCACATTTCGTGGCAGGCGCAGCACTTGGTGAACCTCGAAGTGCAGATTTCGTGGCAGGCGCAGCACTTGGTGAACCTTGACGTGCAGATTTCGTGACAGGTGCAGCTGAGCCTCGAAGTGCAGATTTCGTGGCAGGCACAGCACTTGGTGAACCTCGAAGTGCAGATTTCGTGGCAGGCACAGCACTTTGTGAACCTCAAAGTGCAGATTTCGTGGCAGGCACAGCGCATGGTGAACCTCGAAGTGCAGATTTCGTGGCAGACACAGCGCTTGGTGAACCTCGAAGTGCAAATTTTGAGAGAGGAGAGAGGAGTCGAGAGGAGAGGCCTTCCTTCAAGAAGAAGGAAGGTGATTTGGAGGCTCCTTTGCCTCAAAATGTTGACATGACACAGCCCCTCCAACTTGAACTTCACATTGTCAAGCATGCGCATTTTGCGCGCAGGGTGACAAAGTCA